CCCGCCCCCCCAAAAGTGAGCACTATATTAGTCCTTTTCTAATCCTCTGGGATCTCCCTTAATTTCCATGCATTTCCAAAGGTAATAGCACTACCTCTACAATTACTTCAGCCAACTTCTAAGTACACTAAAAGAGGCCCTGATGACTTCAAAACATTTAGTTTATTTCTAATTCCTATTCTGTTCCTTCCCTATTCTGATCTGAGCACCTGTCCTTAATGTGTACTGCATTCATCATCTGAACGGTTACCACCCCTTCACCACTCTTTTTTACCCCCATGTGAAGACTGAAGTGAAAAAGGCTTTAAACACCTCCTTGTCTGCTTCATCTGTTATAAATTGCCCCTCCCAACATTGTAAAGGACCCGTGTTTTCCTTGGCCTTTTACTTCTAACATATTCAAAAAACCTATTTTGTTACATTTCAGACCTTGTCCCTATATGCTCTCACTATCTTTTTATACAGTACTTGTCCTTAATAAGGAAATAAAATTCTATATTTGGACTTCTATTTTCAGACTTTTGGACAAGGAAAGGAAATATTTATTCAATATGCTAAGCCAAATTACATACACAACATCTCAAACACAATATTAAGCTATGTTGGCTTTGTGATGAAGAAGATTTTAAATTTTTTTCTTTATATAAATAACTTAGTCCAGTGGCACTTCAAAACAGTAAAACTCAAAAAATTAACAGCTAGTGCACAACATCCAAATACATAATAGGAGATAAAATTGGGTAAAATTTAGCTACAGTAAGTGGAAACTAGTAATGTTAATTTTCTGCCAAGAGGGAAACATTTTTTAAACTACGCCTACTGAGATGTCCTTCAAATCTTTATCATCCTAAATCCTTGAATAGTAGTTTTTATAAATTGTAAAAGCATAAGTACTATTTTGGATAAGTGACGTATCTATATCACAAAAATTCTATATGGAGACTGAATTTAGCCCAACCATACTCTATTTTCCTGACTGTAGATGAAATTTGAAACTGAATATAGTTATGTTTTAAGACAAAAACATTTTAGTGCATTGTCCTGATGAACGCTTTAATCCCCCACTTATATTCTAGAGATCTCTGGATTTTCTGTGCTAGCTTGATGCCTAGGGAGAAATTAGTTTCCAACACTGTGATCAAATGTAAAATTATTTCCTATTATATTTGTTTCAGGGACAAGGAAAACTGGATAAATTGCCAGCTATTGCTCTAAACCAAACTTTATTTATTTTATATATGTATACCTATCTATATGTATGTGTATCATACATTTATTTATTTTACAGACACATACATACAAGTATGATATACAAAAAAAGCCTTGAATACTATCAGTAATTTAGGTAGTGAAATGGGCAATAGCTCTGTAGAAATTTTAAAACAAATCTAATTTGATGGCATAACAGGACGGTATCCGAGGGCAGCCATGATGCCCCCCTAGTGACCGTGTCAGTCCTGCATAGCTCTTACTCCAGCTTCTCAGGGTCTCACCCTGCTTCCTCACCTGCCACATCTTGGTGTTGAAGGTAGTGAGGGGAGGCTGCCTTCAGAGGTTGGTGAGCCCAGGTGTTCTCTCTCTCTGTTCTTGGTTTTACTCTTGTGCCCACCTTGGTCCATCTGAATTGGGTCTTAGACCCCTGCACACACAGTCCCCCTCTCTCTCTTTCACTCTCTCTCCTGGCCTGGGGCTCCTTGGGCTCTACTTGCCTTAAGGGTTGAATCATTGTCTCCTTCTGCCCCTACATCCATGCCCATGCCTCTCAGATGATACTCCATCCATATTTCTGTCCTTTTATATAGGCTTCAGCCCTCTACATTTTAGTCCCCCTTTTACTCTGGTTGTAGATTTATAGTCTTGGCCCACTGATTCAGACCCAAGTCTCTCAGCCTCAGCCCTCTCTGGGTTTCTAGGCCCCTTGGCCCTGTCTTTCACTTTGTCCCAGCGCCCCTGGCAGGCTGACCCAGGGAAGGCTGCTTGCAGTTCGGCTCAGCCCCCTGGCATCCCTGAACCAGGGCAAAGCTGCTCCTGGATCCGCCTCCCTCTGAAGTGTTTGGGCTTCCACCCCACGCAGCCCACCAGGTCCTTGACCCTTGAAGGGCTCTATGCTGTGCCTCTGCACCACCCATGTGGCCTCCAATCCACCCCCTGTCAGCCACGTTCACTCCTCCAGTATAAACTAGAGTAAAAAATACAAGCAGCCGCAAACTCTTTAAGTTTCCACCTTCATGTCATCAAATCGCTACCCAGCCACCTCCGCACTCTCTGGCTGTCTCCATCCAGGGAGTACATGCCATACCTGCCATTCACACTTCTTACCAGCCTGAGCTGGTAGGAGATCCTTTCCTTTCCAAGTTCAAGGTTGCAATGCTAGTCTGCCTCAGGAACCCAGGCTTATATTCCTTGGCTCCTCCCCTTCCACTCATATGCTCCCCTGACTGGCTGCAGGTGTGCCTCCTCCAGGGCAGCATATTGCTATTCCTCTGGCTACCGTAGAAGTGTCCTCACTACCTAACCAGGGTATTGTCCTATCATCCTATTGCCAGGCAGCTAGCCCCACAATAGGCACTTGTAGCCTATTGGCCCTGGCTTCCTATTCCCCTGCAGCTAGCCCAAAATTGACTGTCGTACCCCACCTGGGGACATGCCTGCTGCTGCTTCTCTGTGCACGAAACAGGAGCCCCTGGCTCCCTGTTAGAGACAGCAGAATCATAAACTACATTTTCTAGAGTTTATTTTTGAAGATTAGCATGTCAAGGATGATTCCAGGCTGCTTTAGGGTGAAAACATTATTGAAGACAATTAAAAGCAGAGTTTTGACAGCCCACTCTCGTTTGTACTATTTAGTATTTTTTAGAAGTTTATAGGCAGAAATTTAGGAACACCACATTGATGACTGCGTAAGAGTGAAAGCTGCATTGATGATGGGAGACAGGACTGCCAGACTTGCTCTATGACTCATATTCATGAAAAAATACTGAGTGAATAGAGATGACATTTTTTTTTATTCCCCACACAGTGTGCTGGAGAAGAGAATTGGGTAGACAATCGGACTATTTATGTTGGGCACCGCGAACCCCCTTCAGGCGCTGAAGCATATATTCCACAGAGATATCCAGATAACAGAATAGTTTCATCAAAGGTAGTAGTTATTCTTTTAATGCATTTATATAAATCATTTCACTGTCTGCTTATTTTGTTGTTCTTGTTTCCTAAAGAATTCTTTCTGTTTACTGGGGCGTCTGTTGATAAAGGTAAAATGAAAGAGGCTAAGTTTCTTCCACCAAAACTAATCATCAAATTACCTCTGGCTTGAACAGAACTAACATGACTCATTCCATGTAAATATTAGTGAGTTATACTGAACCGCTAGGGTGACTCTACATGATTCATCACAGATGTGGGCTTTTTTTTTCTTAAAAAAGAAAAAGATGAAAGTGTGGCATTGGGATTGATGAGATGTGAAAAATGGAGGAATGCATTCTCATTACCACTTACAGAACATAAAAAAAGAAAAGTAATATGAAAATGATGTCAGAACTTCACTAAATCCTAAGATTACAAATTTTAACTGGTAATTAATTTCTCTCTCCAATGTTCTTGGAAGTCCAAACCTACTTAGAGCAGCTAGGGCTACATCGTAAAACAAACTTTCTTTACTTCTGTTTAGTGCAGACATTCAGGTAGATTTAATTGGATGGGGAGTTTGGAGCTAGGAGAGATGAGAACATTCTGGGGGAGCTTTTGGAGAAGAGAGGATCAAGGAGGTACTGGAGGCATTCTGGTCTCTTTATGTTCTTGTATTATGCCTATACCATATTACATGAGAACATTCCATCTGTACATTAAACATGCTAGGCATCTGTTCAATTACTATTTTTATTTGTAGGCCACCAATCTTTTTGAAGTAGGAGCACTAAACAACCACCTAACACAAATAGTGATTGAAAGAACAAAGCTGAATTCTCAGTTTCAGTAGAGAAGTCAGTCTGGCATAAATCACACCACTACAGATTTCACACGAACTACTCAAATATGACCAACATATGGCCTAAGTATTGGCTTTTATATTTAACATTCCCTACCAAATGAACAACAGATTCTGTGTTGCTGTCTTTCTCAGCAAGTAAAACAGTTGAAATAAGCACCCAATACTATTTCCAGGTTTTTGCTGCCCTGGAAGCAAATTAGACTTTCTTGGACTGGAGGGGGCAATGGCCCTCTTTAACCTCCCCTTGAAGAATTATCTGTGTAAGAACGAAAGAATCTAGCAGCTGCCTCATGAAGGGAGAAAAAACAAGGTCAGGTGAATGTCAGGCAGTGGGCAATAGTGAAAGTGCAGCTCCATGAAAGAGAATTATTCATGGGAAAGAACATGCCTGGAAGGATCTAAATGATGCTATTAGCATCATTCCAGATCTGTGAACAGAGGTTGTTGGTCATGCAGTTTGAGTGAATGCAGATGCAAAATTGCTATATTTGGAGGTAACTGTAGGTTCTCACGCTTAAAACTTTTTTTGTGGACCACTCAGCAAATATTTTATTCTTTCAATTGTGATAGTGATGTTAGTCCCAACTAAACAGAACCCTTCATCCTTTGTGTGTCTTGAGTGTACAGTGGCTAAACGAAGCTCAAGCATGCTTCTGCCTCTGACCGTAACTAAGTTAAACTGTAAACAGATATCTCATTCGAGGCAGTCTTGATTGCATTTAAGTCAGAACCGGGAATAAAGAGTGGCACCGCCCTCTGCACACACACCGCCCTTCTAAGCTTTATTGCTTATGTGCCAGTAGGTGGTCAGAGAGAGCACATCACCTGACAGGCTTGTCCCTGGAATGTTTGGCAAGTAAATGGAATGAGCTACAATTAACATAAAAGCAGCATTGGCCTAAAAGAAGTGTTAGCTCACTTTATGTTATGTATTTCACAGGTAGTTAAGGGAGAAAATAGACTTCTGCAGGACAGAAGGCTTTCCTCTGGAGAAATGACTTATCTTTTTACACGCTTACATGTCAGAAAGTCATAATGTAGGATAGTGGAAGAGAACTCTTGTATTGCCAGTATTTGCAGTGTATTTGGTATATGTGGAAATAATCTTGCAGTATTTTTCTGAGATGGGGCTAACCCACTGACCACTCCATTCTCTGTATATTTCAAAAGTCATTCTCTAGAGAATTACAGCTTTTGGATCCCTTGGGTTCTTCCTGTGGCCCACATGTGTTGCCTTGGGAATGCTCCAGTCTGCTGACCCAGAGATCTGTCTAAATACAGTTCCCTAGTATCACAGCAGCACAATATGCAAGCAAAAGCCTACAAACTTCATCTCTATAATTCACTTGGTTCTCTTAAATTTCTTAAGCACACATCTTCAGATCCAGCATTAAATAATCAGTTGAGTAACCACTGGTGGGAGAGAGTTTTCTTATTGAAAGCGTGCCTTAAATAAAAGTAATAGCAAACTATAACACATAGTTTTTCTGCAGCATCTGGGAGTGTTCTCTTGTTCCTAGACTTTGAAGGCCAGATGTATTTTTATTTTGCCTTGCTCACAAACTTCATCTCGAGACCATCTGAAATGAGCAACATGTTATCCTTGTATTTGCAATCTGATATATTCAGGAGTTAATGAGGTGGATAACACAGCTGAAATACAGCTAAAGTGATGTAACATGAGTGAAATCCTATATTTTAACGTCTCGTATTCTGGCAATTGCCCTTTGGAAAATTAAACAATGTACATATTTGTGCAATTTTCTACACTCCATTAGGGTACCTCTGTTCCCTTCCTCCCCCCCCACTCCCAGCATATTTCAAGGGAATTTATAAAAACAAAGCATAAGTTAAATCCTGCTGACATTTTTCCAAATAAAAGAATCAAACTTTGTTTATTCCCTTTTTCTTCTACTCATTTTATATACATGGGGCTTAATTCTTTTTTTGGTCTCCCATCTTCTGCTAATTTTCACTTCTTTGGCAAGTTTAATATTGACAGTAGTGTACAAGTGATGTTGTAGCCATGATGGTCCATTAATTATGTGAGAGTTAAGGATTTTTTAGGGTGGTATCTTTTATTGGACCAACTATGTAGTTGGGATAAAGTTAGACAAGCTTTGTGATGTAAGACATTCTTTGTCTGGTCTCTCTAATATTGACAACTTTTCCATTATATAAGTGTTATGTCTTTGTTGGAAGAGTTTCATAATACCTTGTATTTTCTTTTTGTTTAGATGGTCTTTAGTAGGTTAGTAGGTAAATTGATTAGACGAGCTGTGAAATGAATGCTGTGTCTTAAAGAACATGATCTTATTCTGTCCTCATATTAAAAACACTATTAATTTTGTAGGGTGTGTGCGCGTGTGTGCAGGGGGTTGTTGTTTAGGTTTTGGTTTTTTTTTTAAACTGTACACTAGAATGTTACAAAAATGCAATATATTCATACTAGAAAACAATTTTATTGTCCTAATGAAAACATGGTCAAATGGAAAAGAACTCAGGTGAGTTACTAGAGAATAAAATTAATGTGTCTAGACATTAAAATAGATGTGTTTTTTCCCTCTGCACAAGTTTCTTCTAATGTGAACATTTTTCTCCAAAAGCAGATAGATTAATTTAAAGTAGAAGTTACTGCATATGTTAAACATGTGGAATTCTAATTTGTTCAGACTTTAGTGAAACTATTTGCTAATGCCTTTTTGTTCAAGAGGTCAAGGGATATCTTCCTCAGTTAATAAATTATGCATTTTTCAGTTGTCAGCATCTATCTATATTGTTATTTTTATAATGGGGCACACTGTTTATTGATAACCACCTCTTAAATTTGCCATTTAGCTACTTTTTCAAGTCACAATGGATAAATCTTTTGGCGACTTGACCAACAGAGATATTTTAAGATGATTAAACATTCACATAAATTGATTAAATGTGTCATACAATTTTAAAGATGCCGTTAGTGACAATTACCTTTATCTTATTTAAAAGATGATCCACTTTGCACAATTAAGATGGAAAAAACATTTTTGTTAAATTAAAAAAAAATCTGTAGACTGTTTCAAGCATGAAGGATATTTCCCAACCTTTTCTCTGGTGAGATGGATAATAACTCTCAGCTGTGGACTTATAGGTTTTATAGGTCTTTCATGCTTATGTAAGAACAAAGGCTGCTCTTCACGGATGACATACTCTAATCATCTCTTAAGTACATGATTTTATCAATTTAAGACATATCAAACTTGTTCAAAAGTTTTGGGGGGTTTCAAACCATGAAGAAACCCCATCTATTAATTAAATAGTCTTTACACTATTTTACTTACAAAGATACTCTGTTTTATTACTTAGAAATAAAGTGCCGATAAAATATGGCTGCTTGAAATAACTGTCTATAATGAAGAAAAATCTGAGGACCTATTTCTGCCCTACAGGTGCACTTACATTACTTTGGTTGAGGCTTCATGGTGATCCTGAAAGCAGAATTTGGCCCCTGTACAGAAAGATTCTTTCTGTAATATCACAGTGCCATGTTAGAATTTGACTAAAATTCCATAGAATCTGTTATTTATGTTCCAGTTAATGAAAAATGGCCTGTAGGCAGAAATTGGCCACACCAAACACACAATAATTTGGCATATTAATTTAAGTGTTGTTATGATTGTGACAATGTATTCCAAGAAAGCCGTGTTAAGAGATAGAAGGTGAGAGTAAGTGATTTTTTTTCTTACATCTATAGTTTATATGTAGGCTGATAAATATTTTATTGTGATTTCTTATATTGAATTAATTGTTCACTAATTCATCTCTGAGGAGCAGTTGTTGGTTTCTCTTAAGGCAGCAATTGGCTGTTTGTTTGAATTTACCATATAACAATTAGCTGGTAGAAAAACTCTAAAATTTCCGGTAAAATACTTTAATTGAATATTGACTTCTTGACAAATTCATCAAATTTGGGAAATGTTTCTTATTTAGATAATAGAATTATCTTCCTTTTTCAGCTGAGTGAGAACCAAACTGGAAAACTCTATTTAAATATAGAGGTAAATCTTGTTCGATCTAAAACCTATGGTGAGAACTTACAAAGTTATGTACAGAAGTGCTGTGAAATTAAGGAAAACTATGCTACCTTAACTTTATTCCCTTGTGTACATACA